ATTTGAGAGATAAGGATAGACTTGTATAGATAGATGTTGTCTCCTTGTATTTAGGACTCAAGTTTATCTCTAATGTTGTATAAGTAGTGAACTCGTTATGATGAATAAACCAACACAAACAGTTTGACATGGTATCAGAGCCTTCTCTTGACTCTTGATATCGATATTTTTTCTCTCTTTGCTCGATCTCAATAACAAATCATGAGAGGTGAACAAGCTATTGTTGCAGCCAAATAAAAATTGGTGTCACCGTATTACTTGCATCCCGCGGATAGCACGGGGCAGGTACAAACACCAATCCTCCTCAACGGTGCAAATTATGAAAGATGGACGAAGTTGATGATCAACTCGCTTCGTGACAAACGAAAGTTAGGGTTCATTGATGGAACTCTGAAACGACCGTCCAGCGTCTCTGATCGAAGATTCAGAAAATGGGACATGGTCAATGCAATTATCATTGGATGGATTTACAGCAGCGTCGAGCCTAAGCTACGCCCTTCCATCTCTCTTGCTGATAGTGCTAAAGTTATGTGAGCGAGTCTTCGGCGATGTTTCTTTGTCAATGATGATACTCGTATCATCAACTTCTTGCAGATATACATCCTGCAAGCAAGACGGTGACACGGTTGAGATTTTCTACGGCCGACTCAAAGTCATGTGGGATGACTTAGCCGATTTAGAAAAAGGTTTTACATGTTGCGGTGGAAGTTTCGAATGCAACTCGATGGTGGTATATGAAAAGAGTCAGGAGTAAGTGAGAGTTCGTCAATTCCTCATGGGATTAGATAACTGACGATTCGGGACAGCTCGATCAAATCTTCTTAGCAGACAAACCGATATGACTCTCGACATAGTGTACTCACAAATAATCCAAGAAGAACGACACTAGAATTCAATGTGACAACTCGAAGAACGAACTCCAGCACACGGGCTCTCTGCAACAACTACCTCACAACAAACAGTCTCTTGTCCTATCGATCAGGCATCAGCAACAAGGTTCGAAAGACCTACAACCGCATGCACACATTGTGGCAGAACTGGACACGATACATCTACATGCTTTCAACTTGTTGGTTTTCCTGAATGGTGAACTGACAAAAGAAAATCAAACGGAGGCAGAGGGTCTATAAACTTGTACGAGGAAGAGGACGTGGTGGTCGTGGCTCAAGCTCTCGGGAAAATAACACAACAGCTCGTGAATCTGAACCGCAAACACAAGGTATTCCAAACTTTACTGCAGATCAATGGACGTCGGTAGCAAATTTCTTGAACAGCGAGAAACAGAGCCATCTGAAAAAACTCTCGGGTAAGAGAAACAAGCTATATTTGTAGGGTAAAGACAGCAAATATGATATTATTATAGACTCCAACGCCTCTCACCACATTACTGGAGACATCAATTTGCTCACCAATATCTCAACCTTACAAGCTTGTCCGATCTCCTTACCAAACGGAAACATCACTTGGGAAACAAAACACGGAAGCTTACATCTATGAAAACATCTTGTTCTCACAGACGTGTTCTATGTGCCACACTTATCCATAACTCTCATCTCTGTTGCTCAGTTACTACGTGACATTCCATATTTTGTGCTCTTTACCAAAAAGTTTTGTGAGATACAAGACCTGGCTTCGAGGAGTTTTATTGGTGCGGGTGAAGAGCGTGTTGGGGTCTACCACTACACTGGCGTAATAGCGGGTTCTGCTGGACGACTCCTAACACGAGAATCATGGCATCGTCGTTTAGGACATCCAATATCAGCTGTGATTTCTAGTTTATCGGATATTGGAGGATTTTCTCTTAATGTATGCGCTTTCAAAAAGTCTTGTGACATTTGTGTTCGGGCTAAACAAACCCGTGGTATTTTTTCTTAGAGTTATAATAAAGCTGATGATATTTTTTCTCTAATCTACTGCGACCTATGGGGACCTTACAAAACTTCTTTTCTAAATGGCGCACGATACTTCTTGACAATAGTAGATGACCATTCTCGAGCAGTTTGGACCATTCTCTTACTTGAAAAGAAAGAAGAACCAATGGCAGTTCAAAAGTTCTTCGCTTTCGTCCAGCGACAATTAAAACAAAAGATCAAGATTGTGAGAAGTGACAATGGAGAAGAGTTCATATGTCTTCGTCAATTCTTCTCTGAACAAAATGTTATTCATCAGACATCCTGCGTAGAAACACCACAGCAAAATGGACAAGTAGAACGAAAACACAGGCCCATCCTCAACATGGCCCGTGCCTTGATGTTTCAGGCAAATCTCCCAATACGTTTCTGGGGAGAAAGCGTACTAGCTGCCTCATACCTAATAAACCGAACACCCAACAAACTCTTGTACTATAAGATCCCTTACAAACTGCTCCACAGTAAAGCTCCTTCCTACGACAACATAAGGAATTTTGGCACTCTTTGCTTTGCTCGGAAAATAACAAGAAACAGGGAAAAATTCGATGAACGCAGCACTAAATGTCTCTTTCTTGGCTATCCAATGGAAAAGAAAGTCTGGCTTATGTTTGAAGACAGAAACAACGTTTATATCAAAGGACATTATTTTTCATGCGGAGAAGTTTCCATACATCGAAACATCTCAAGACATTGACCAAGAAGATCAAGTTGCAATGATCCCACCTCATCCTGTGACCTTCGATGTTGAAACATAACAAGCACAAGTCACTACTCCGGTCAAATCTCCTCATGGGGAGTTACATCTTTAACCAATCCCAACAAGAAGCTACAACATCTTCAGAAACTAATCCTCCACACGCTGAAACGGAACTTGGTCGAGGAAGACGACAGAAACAGAAATCAGTTCTCCTAAAGCCTTACGTCACATATACTGCTCAAGCTCAAGACCCCCATCACGCTCCTCAACCTACCGATTCAGCATCATAGTCCTCAAGTAATAATCTTTATCCATTAACTAACTACGTCTCTTTCCATCGCTTGTCTCATGTGCATCAGGCTTATCTCGCAAAGGTGGCTGCTGAACAGGAACCCATCAGCTATAATGAAGCCATGAGAGATCCACGATGGAACAATGCTGTTATCGTTGAAGCTGATGTACTTGACAAGAACCACACCTGGGACGTTACAGACTTACCTCCGGGGAAAGTAGCAATCCGGTGAAAATGGGTCTTTCCAATCAAACATCAGGCCGATGGAACTATTAAGCGCTTCACAGCTCGTCGCGTTGTTTTGGGGAAACGACAATAGGAGGGTGTTGATTACAAAAGAAACTTTCGCACCTTCTGTCAAAATGACTACCGTTCAAATTCTCTTGAAGATATCTGCAGCTAAAGGATGAGAGTTATTTAAAATGGAGTTCACAACGCATTTCTCCACGATGATCTTAATGCGAAGTTTATATGAAACTCCTACCTGGCTTCTCTGTATCATCTCCGAACAAGGTCTGCAAACTGAAAAATTCTCTCTATGGTTTACGCCAGGCACCGCGATGTTGGTTCGCAAAGTTGTCTACAACAGTAAAAGACTTCGGTTTCAAAAAAAAATTTACTTTGACTATTCCTTATTCACGCTCAAGAAAGGATCTTCCATCATCTACGTTCTAGTTTTCGTCGATGATTCATTATTGGCGGCAATGACTCCACTCTTATCACTCTCTTTAAGACTACCTCAATTGAACGTTTCACATGAAGGATTTAGGTGTTTTGAAGTACTTTCTTGGCATTGAAGTTTCTAGGAACAATGATGGGATCACCTATCACAGCAGAAGAATGCACTCGATATCATCACCGAGTGTGGCCTTCTCGGTTCCAAACCCATTGACATCCCCATGGAACAAAATCAGACCTTGGCTCGTGACAAAGGAGAATTTTACTCTGAACCTACTAAGTACAGACGATTCATTGGACGACTAGTTTACCTAACGGTGACAAAACCAAATCTCAGTTACTCCGTTCAAACGCTGTCTTAGTTTCTTCAAAAACCACGTCTTACGCATTGGGAAGCAGCTCTCAGAGTAGTGAGATATCTCAAAAATGATCCAGGTCAAGGTATCTTCTTAAGCGTGAAGAAGGATCTTACACTCTCTGCTTTTTGCAACTCATATTGGGCCGCCTGTCCACTGACACGAAGTTTACTCACCGGTTATGTCATAATGCTAGGAGGGTCTCTTGTTTCTTGGAAGACAAAGAAGCAACAAGTTGTGTCACGCTTGTCAGCTGAAGCTGAGTATAGGTTCATGGCTTTAACTCTTTGCGAACTGAAGTGGATCATTGAGCTAATGCGAAGTTTTGACATTCAAAGACTTATACCTACTTCACTGTACTGCGATAACCAAGCTGCTCTCTACATCGCCGCAAACCCAATATTTCACGAAAGAACCAAACATATAAAAGTAGATTGTCATTTCATTCGTGATGCAGTTCAAGACGGCTTGATCGTAACTAGTCACGTTCGGACAACAGACCAATTGACAGATATACTAACGAAGCTGTTGGGAAGATAACAGTTCCATTACTTACTTGGCAAGATGGGCGTTCGAAATCTCTTCACACCAACTTGAGGGAGGGTATTAGCGATAAGCTAAAATATTTGAGAGATAAGGATAGACTTGAATAGATAGATGTTATCTCCTTGTGGTTAGGACTCAAGTCTTCCTCTAATTTTGTATAAGTAGAAACTCGTTATGATGAATAAACCAACACAAACAGTTTAACAGATAACACATGTTAGTTGATGTATGTATTTATGTAACCAATTGTTTGAATTGTTTGTGATATATTGATTAACCTGGATCAGATCAATTATCTATTTAGAACAAATCGGTATGGTCAGAGACTTGTCCTCTAGATGATGGCGGCTGGCTCTTCAATCAGATAAGATTTTGTTACGTTTTGTATTTGTAAAGAAAATACTAAGGACTTCCTCACGGTTGTGGCCACCGTGAGTTTTTTGAAGATTATTGATAGTATTTACATAAATATCGTCATTATTGTAGAATCTACGCATTTGCTTTCTTTTGTTCAGTTTGAACTAGTAATAGTCTCCTTTGATGAACTGATTCAAGCGCTTGAGCTCGCCATTTTGATGGTCCACAATTGCTCTAACGACATCAACCATAGAGATCATCCCCACTATCTTTCCGTCAATCACCGGTACATGTCTTATATGATTCTCTACACCATTTACAAAACATAATTTACATTTTGGATTACACATAAATTCAACATATATATAAAAATATATATATATATATATATATATATATATATATATAATTTTATAAATTACCTGACATAAGCTGCATTGCTTTGATTATGCTTGTCCCCGAAGAAACACTGACCAACTTGCTCTGGCCAAAGTAATTCCCAAAGTTTTTAGCAAATTTAACTCGATAAATAAAATGAATCTGAGATATCAACTTAAAATATAGTATGTTGTGTTTATTTTGACCTCGTCTGTCATAACTTCTCCAACTTTTGTAACCTTTGATGATCTTCCCGCCCCGATGATCTTTTTCATATAGTCTATTTCACAATCCACCAGTCAATTTTGATTATCAAATAAAATAGGAAAATGTGTCAGACGTAGATAAATTTAAATTCCGACTGTGATGTTATAATGATTGGAAACGGAATCGTATGTGAGCGATATATGATTTCTTTAAAAAAGAAACCGAAACATTTTAGAAACGTATATACATATATATATATATACACCGCCGGCCATAAGCTAAATCTCGTAAAGCTAAGGCTTTAGCGCCAAAAGCTATAGATAGTTTAGGGGCGCCAAATATCCAATGTTGCACTTTAGTTTAGTGTTTGTAAGCTTCCCATTATATTATGAACCTAACAGATTCTAAGACCATCTTTCCAACTTTTTGATAATAATAAGGCTTTAACTGGTGACCAAAGGAATGTGTGGGAATAGTTAATTCCTCTTTATTCCTTAAATTTAACACCATTTATAAGGAATCATAATAGTTAATTCCTCTCCATTCCTTAAATTTGCACCATTTATAAGGAATAATTTTTCTTCAATATTCCTTCTCATTCCTTTTAATTTAAGGAATCAAAGAACAAAACATTTCTTTTTCCAAGAGTAACAACTAAAGATTTATTCCTTAAAAAATACGGGTGATTTGGTTCTTGTTCCAACAGTCTTAATTTCTTTTACTATGTATAGAATAATATGTTATTCCTTCAAAAATAGTTTAGTAATAAAAATGAATGAATTCTTTTATTTTACTAAAATGATTTAATTTCACCATTTTCTTCTTTTTGTTTTCTTGATTGCTAGAATAACTATACGAACACGAGTTATTGCAACAATTCATTTGAAGGAACTATTTTTATCACACTGTTTCAGAGTAATTGATCTTTGTCGGAATAGGTCAATGGGAATTTCATGGTATTTCTCCTCTTCCTTTATAAGTTTTTATAATTTTGTTAGGGACTTTTGAAATTCACAAAACTCAGAACTAGCATTTAGGTTCTGGCATTTTTGAAACTTTGTTAAAACAGAAAAATTATGAAGCTGATGTTAGCATATTTCGTTATATGTTTTTCTATCTATAAATTATAATTGGAGTTATTTTTCTTGTTTCTTTAGATTTGTAGAAAATGGTACTAAAAATAGTATTAGAAATTAATCAAGTGAGCTGTAATAGGAAATGAAAAACAGTGGAGATGAACTGCAAATAATATTTTGATGTTTTTGTATTTATTTTGTTGAAAATAACAGATTTTTAATTACTACTTATGATTATATGTTTAAATATTGAAAATTTTATTTAGATAAAGAGGCATCATTTTTATGGTCTGCTTTAGGCGCCGGAAAAATCCGGACCGGCACTGTATATATATATATATATATATGTATATATATATATATATTAATAATATATGAATAATTAAAAATGTATGACGAAAATTATATGTAAAATTTCATAAAAAAACTATTGTGGACAAAGATAATTTATAGTATTAGTTTAGTATTTGCATATTTTTATTCTCTCTATATTAATACTATTCATTTTTAGAAGTTATATATAATAAAAATATAATTTATATTTCTTATTTATTTATGACTTTAAAACAAAAATGAGATTCTAAAATGAAAGTATAGGCCTCCAATTTCCAACGTCTTTTAAGAATAAATATTTTGAAAATACGATTCTGAAAGCTTCTAGAAGTTTTCGTTTTCAAATGGTTTCAGAAAAAATATTATCACAAAAATAATTATTTTCCCGTGAATCAAGAGGGTATGTTATCATCACAAAATAAGGAATAAGTTAAGAAGTTGTGTTTACAGTCTTTGGGGTTGGGCTTAGGTTTTTTTTTTTTTGGTATACCGTGATAACTGCAAATTTCAAGGTAATGAAGTGGTCAAAAACATTCACCTCTCTCTGTGACAATTCCTGCGATGCATTCCTGGTCTCCAGGTCTTAGTACGACCAACGATCCAATATTATGCTTAGCCATCTGCTTTTAATTTAATTTAAAAAAAAAAACAATTACTGCTCATGAAAAATAATATATTACGATTTATTTTCTACGGAAACCAGGATATTGGATCGATTGATAACTATATACACATGAAACACAAGCACGAGTGCATTACTTATATGCATATAATGTTATTCATACGATTGTTTGTTCCCATCAAATATAATGTACACACGTCTTTTTAAAATACTATATTGTATTGAGTGTAAAATTTAACCACGTCTTATTTGGTGGGACGCATAACGCATTCACACAGAACAACGTGGAGTAGGCAAAGAACAGAAGACTAATAAACAAAGTTCAGTTTGCAAACCCTTTGGTAAAACTGATATTTATGTTAAGTCCTATGCTTTTAGTTTGAGATTTGTGACCATCTTCTATAACTTAATTTAAGTTTAGTTTTGGTTTAGGTAGAAAAAGAACATAAAGAGATTGTTTTTAAAAAAAAAAAAAGTTGGAAAGAAACCACAGTTTGTTCGAGAACACCCCAACTTGTACACGCACTAACACTTAATGCGTATGTAACGTGATGCATGGATTGGAGCAACTAATAGTAATGCAAACAAAGGAGTTTGGGAACAAACATTCGTAACGGCGTCAAAAACGGTGTCATTTGTACGGCAGGAGATCAACGTGTCAACTTTGCCGCCACCGTCGTCAGTGTCTTTTGTCAACAAGACATCCGCCACCGTCAGATTATCCAACCCTTTCTCCGGCGGCGGAGGAGGCGAAGTAACGCCTCCAAAACCGGCTGTTTCCTTCCATGCCCATTTCCTCTGAATGTTTGGCACCTCAAGATTAGCTCTTGCTAATAATCCTCTCACAAAAGCTTTCATCTTTAATCTTTTGTAATCCTGACTGTTGAGATGAGACAGCGACAGAAACAGGAGTTGAGTTCTGTAATAAAGGAAATCTTTTTTTGGAGATTTGTAGTAATCTTTTGCTTCCAAATAAAGACTAAGAACATACCTTGCCTAAACCAAACGCTAATTACTTTTTTTAGTTAAATAATCTTAAAGTAGATGGAAGTTGCAAGGAAACAGATCTTGATTTGTTTGCTCCAAGAAGGAAAAGTATGTACATTCATCAACCATACAACAAACTGCAAATAGAGAATATGATTCGAATATGTTACATTCATTCGCAGACAGGCTTCGTGTCAAAGCTGCTTAAACAAATGGCAAATGCTTGGAATGCAGAGATGGGGTAACGATAATCCATGGTGAAAATGTCTTTCCCAATCTTCCCAAACTGTAATATAACTCTCTCTTGCTCCTCCTCTGGTATGTTCATGTTCTTCCCTGCTTCTGCAGCAGCTGCAATTAGCTGGAAGTTTTTCACTGAGGCGACCGTGACTCGTCCTTTGAAGTTTAGACACCAGCACTGGAGCTGCTCGTGCCATCTCGGTGACTTGTTTTTGAGGACTAATGGTTCCTTTACAACAGATTCACCACCCATGTTCCCTGTGCATAAATCAATCATCGACTTCTTGTTCTTCTTATTTCCTTGGTTTGTGAACTCGGTCGGAGGATGCACTTGTCCGCCTTCTTGAATGGACGAAACTGGGATGCTGTTTATGATACATTGCATTCTTCTTGGACCTCTAGTTCTGAGGACATTCAGCTCATACAAGATCGAAGCCATGTTGTAACTATGAGTAGACGATGATACCCATGGAGACACACGCATCGATGGTGGTAGTTTCCGGTTGGACAATCTTTGGGAATTAACCGGAGGAGGTTGGTTTTCGTAGACCGTGAACTTAGTCCCAAGGAAATTAGATCTGTCCACACAACAACAACAAAAGAAATGGTATGGCGTTATCAAACACAATTAAGGCAAAGAAACTGGGCCACTGACATACGCAGCAGACATTTGCCTATGCCTCCAAAATTTTTGAGGAAAATTGCAAAAGATATAGACCCTCACATTTGTAAAAAAATTATATATATATATATATATATATATATATATAATTTTTGTTAAAACCTTGACTATAAATCGCCTATATCCCCTAAAATCTCACCTTAGTTTCCCTATGTAACAACTGCTACTTCTTGAGAAGTCATTACCGGACAAGGATATAACAAACTCCATACCGGTCGCCCTCCTGACTTTCTTAGCTGAGAGTAAGAGCTTGCTCTTGTCGCCGGAAAGAGCTGTAATTATTACAAAGAAAAGTCAGTGACACTCCAAACTCAATTTCAGATAGAGAGGGTAAGTAAACTACCTGGGCTTAAACCGAGATAGAGACGGTATATTCCAGTGGCTCTTTCCCGTTTGATAAAGCATTGAATCGGAGCATCTCTAGGAGCAGGCTGAGAAACAAAAGAAGCAAAAAATCAAATGATTATCACACAAAAAAAAAAACTGTTTGAAAGAAGAGAGAGTTAAAACCTGTTTTAAGGAAACAGGGAAAGTGAGCAAACCAGAGAGCTCAGGAACTTTAACAACTTCGTGTTTAGTCATCTCCCTCCACGACCTACAAACGGAGGCGCAAGCAACAACGTCTCTCCTCCCTGGCCATAAAGTCTGTCCAGACTCAATCCGATTGATGATGTCAAGAAGCAACTCAGGAGGCAAATCAACCCAAATGCTCTGTTCATCAGCCGATGGAGATGGAGATGGAGAGGAAGGCGCAGAAGAAGATCCTTCAGGCGCAATGTGGGACCTTCCTCGCCTACCAACGCCTTTGTTACGACCCCTTAGCTCACGAACTATCTTCTTGAACGGCATTGCTAAAGGTTTCAATTTGTGCCAATCACACAATATCAAATACCCTAATCCCCAGCTTCGTTACAGAAGAAGATGGAGCTTTAAACACAGATAAAATGTTTTCAGATAAAAAGGTTGTTAATTTTGAATATGAAAATGATTAAAAAAAAAAGGGGCATTGATCCGGCTTCTCCGCCATTATCGTGTAAAGCCCCGAGAAAAGGTAAATTAATTTTTCTTTTTTATTTATTAAAACCGAAAGCATCGAGAAACGAGAGAGAGAGAGAGGATGAATGTACCAACAGAAGCGACAAATCCATGGGGAGGAGAGAATCGGGAATGAGAATTGAGTGAATTCCGATGAACAAATTTTCAGCGAAAACCCGTCTTGAGAAAAATAAAATAAAAGGATCCTCAAATTTATGTAAATAGAGCAATCACCACCACCACCACGTTCCTCCAATGTCGTTTACCGTCGCCGTCGTTAGCTTCGATTCGGACGAGGTGGAGGGTGACGATGATAACTGCGATAGGAGGAAGAGAGAAGAGAGAGAGAGAGAGGAATTGGCAAGTTAATAAGAAAAAAAAAAGGAACAACTACGCGCGGCCCATTATGACTCCTTTCAATTGAAATTAGTAATTTACTCTAAATAGCAACATTAATCTTTCTCTCTTTTTCTTTAACACCAAAGAGCATTCATCTCTCTTCCATTTCTGAATACTGTTTTGCTGCTGAAATTTGTTTTTTTTTTTTTGGTTTTATATCCAACTATAATTTCTATCCCAATGCTTTAATGGGTAACTAAAATTTGATCCGCACATATGTATATTTCATTTTATAAAAACATATTTAATATTATCGTTAAATATGTGATTTTAGATTTTCGTATTACATATAGTGTAACTTTATAATCTTATTTTTTAGGATTTTTTATAGAACATTAATATACGATTAGTGAGTCCCATTGTGTTTAAAAATCAACTTTAAAATCTGTCATTTTAATAAATTGCGAGATTTACTAAAATAAAAATATTGTTTTGTTTAATTAACTTGCCATATTTTTTTGGTAAAAAATATATATAATAGCTTATATGATATTATTTTAGTTAAGATATAGATATAAAATATTTTGAATGTTATGGTATTAAATTCTCTGACTTTGCGTACTAAATTAAGATTTCAAAATATTATATTATTTTAGATTTTTAAAATAATATTCATTTTTCATGTTCCATATGCAAATATTAGAATACTTATTTTTAAAATTTGTATATATGGTCAAGAAAGCTTTTCGAAAATACATATATATCTTTGAATTTGAATTATATGACTTTGATTTTTTGTTAATAAGTTTAAGTATTATTTAATAAAAATATTTAGAATTTTGGTAAAATATGTAGTTGTTTCTTAATAGATTTTGTTATAATTAAAAACCCTTGAATTTGTAGTTAAAATAGAGTTTTCATTAATATCTTTGAATTATTAAAAATTACATTATATTTTGTAAATAACGCATGAACTTAAAGTTAGTTATATACTATTATACTTTGTATATAACTAACTTTATATAATATATTTTTGTGATATCAAATTAAAATATATATATATGGATGTAGACTTGTAGATATAAAAGTTGAAGATATGCTAACATTTTGTATAAAAAATAGGCTTAGTTTATAAATTTTAATCCTTTTAAACGGTGAAGGATAGTTTATTTATTTAAATGAAAGTATTATTGAGATAAAATAAATGACTTTACCAATTTTATATAACTTTGTTTTATTTTGTTCATTTAGTATTCCTATTTTAATATAATATGAACTATAGTTATGAATTTATAAAAATAGCATAGATTTTTTTCTTTTTTTATAATAAAATTTTAATTAGTATTAATGAGTAATAATATTATATTAATACGAAATTATTTATTGTATTATTTTATAAAATATTTAAAATTTTAATAACATTTTGTTAGTTTTTTCAACATATTTTGTTATAATAAAATACAACTTCAAACTGTAGATAAAATGGTCCATAATTTAATCAGCCTAATAACAAACTTGAAAGTGTCCAAATTTTAAAACACAACTTCAAACAACAGATAAAAGTTATGATTTTAAATTAATAAATTAGATTTTTCAAAAGTCAATTTGAAAAATGATTAGTTTTTAATCTGTAATAAGAAGGTGCCACATTTAACTCTTATCAGAAAGAGGTGTCATCCAGTAGTAAATTGGAAACAAATTGTGATATTCTAAGAAACAAATTATTAAATATGTCAAAATATCACAATTTGTTTCCAATTTACTGCTGGATGGCACCTCTTTCTGCAGATCAACCTAATCAAGCGAAACATCACAAGCGATCAATCAAGCGAAACAAATTAATCAAGCGAAATAAATTATTAAATATGTTAAAATATTTAAGAAACATCTTATTTTGTGGATAGTTGTCAAGTTGTTAAGGGATGGAAGTCTTAGGTTCGAGTAACGCCAAGCGCATCAATAACCTACCGGTGGATATGGAGGAAGTTCTCCCATGGTGAGGCGTTAGGATCGGTGCGCTGCAGTGCTTGTGAACCACATGATGGGTTATCACAAAAAAAACATCGACTTTTATGTGACAACCTGTAGGTCAACTGGTGACAGCTTGTTCAGTGGAAGGGTTGTTAAAAGGTGAAGTCTTGGGATCGAGTAGCGCCAAGCGCATCAATAACTTACACGGGGGAGTCAATGAGAGCTCACATAGGAGGAGTTAGGATCGATGCGCTGCAGCGCTGTGAGCTTCCAATGGAGAGGTTGTCACATTTTGGTTCCCTTATTCTAAGTCCATAAACCTCTAGTCTAATCTTTATAACAAGTCGGCCATATACTTAAAATATATCTAAGTACATTCGCCCATTACATAAAACATGATCGGATAACCCATGATCCTATCTCACCACACGGTTTGGATCTAGGATCAAACAACACCACTCTAAGTCCGGCCAAGGGCCATGGACTCCTTACCTGAACCGCCAAGGGCATAGGTTCATGAATTCATGTATAACATAACCCTTTTGGTCAGTATACAATCCGCTTAGTCCAATTGATCCATTCCGTAGTCGATCAGACCATTTATGTAACCGCCCCATTGGACCTTGGTCCACTTACTTGGGTTGGCCCAAGGCATTGGCCCAATAACCATAACCAGGACCAATAGCACACGGCTTGTCCTGATGTAAACAAACCACCCGATTCATAGCCATCGAACCATCCATACAATCCAGTTCATGACCATGGTTCATTATTGGGTTTACACAGACATGAATTCAGTTTTATACCAAACCATTCATACACCAAATCCATACTTCCATATACGCAAATAAAGAAGGGGTAGAAATATATATATATATATATATATATTAACCAAACATAAGGAAGAATATGGACAGAATCTGTCGCCATGACTAAGACCACATCAGATCATTTGTGGGTCTTAACCAATGGCTCGGTGGTTACTCCACTGACCTTGGTAGTGGGATTTGATGTCCTGTCTCCTTTATCCACGACCTTCTCCTTGCCTCTGGTATCCATCACGAACGGTTACTCCTTCCCACAAGAAATTCTTATTGCCATAAAGTATAAACCATCACAACGATCTTTTCTTGGCCGATCTCTTCTTCCCTTTCTTTCTTTATTTCTTTCTCTCTTGCCTTTTCTATGTATTTTTCCTTAAAGGAACTGATGGCTAAAATCGGCCAGAAGACCTTATATTTATAGAGGGAGAGATTGCCAACTGCCTTGGGCGAACCGGTGTGACTTGATGGGCGAACAGGTGTGACTTGTTTCCCATCCATCCTTTTGCCAATAACTATTCCTTCACGGGCTCTTATTGAATCATAACCCAATGATCAAGCCTGTAAACTAGCCCAAACTTAGCCCAGCGGCCCATGTTCTCTCCAGATCACCACACAGCCCAATCATGACCCAAACCCGGTCCAACTGCCCTAGACCCAAATACTCCACCGAGCTGTGAGGATCTGATTCCTAGCTGGTCCAGCTGAGTGAGCTACTAGTTCAGCTAGTGGAGCTGACACTACTCAGTGTGAGCTTGACCGATCTCAGTAAGCTGCTTCCCAGCTGGTCGAGCTTCTCATTCGTGTCGTTCAGCTACGGCAACACATGTTTCAGCTCGTCCATCCTTGTCCCGCTAAGTCTCAGCTTAATGATGCACTTAGCCCTTTACCTAGGCCATGGTACGCTTGTTATAAGGTCATAAGAGCGACTTATGTGGTTCCCCGAACCATGGTCCATCCCACCGATCCTATCTAGGATCAGGAACATGACAAGTCTTCCCCACTTGCGATGGATTCGTCCTCAAATCCAAAGAAATTGTTACTTCCATGGCGTACTGCTTAAACAACTCACGAAACTCAACTTTCATTCTTACTTCAGTCTCCCAAGTTGTTTCTTCGCGTTCATTACAATCCCAAATGACATTAACCATTTGTATTATCTTCTTCATTGTTGCTTTTTACATCCTGTCTATGATCCAAACTGATCTTATCTCAAAGGTTAGGTTCATCCCTAGATCAGTAGAAATCTCTGGCATAAAAACATCGATCTCTATCCGTCAGTTTCTGAGTTGGGAAATATGGAACACATTGTAGAAAGCCTCCATTTCACTCGAAAAATCCAACTTGTATGCCGCCCTTCCAATTCTCTCTATAATTCTAAACGGACCTAAATACCTTAGGTCTAGTTTCCTCCGTCCAGAAACCTGTATTCTACCTTTGAAGGTAATCATCTTCAAATAAACCATGTCATTAACTTCGAACTCTAAGTATTTCCTTCGTCTATCTGTGTAGTTTATGTGTCACTTTTGTGTCTCTTTCATCTTGTCTTTCATGAATTTGATATTCTCTGTGGGAACCGAAATCCACACTGTCGATTTTCCGTCAAATATGGAAACTTAGGATGAAAGCCTAATTCTCCCGAGGTCCCGGATCTCTGCGGAAATCACTAAAACAAACGAATTT